TGATTCTCCATCCTGCACACGGTGGCAAAGGTGGCACTCCTTCAGCATCATTTCTTCTTCTGCCTTGGCAGGGGGTTTCCTTCTAGTGCCTCCCTCACCTTGGTCTAGTCTGCACCAATCTGGGCTATCTTCCTCCTGTGTAGTGGCTTGTTGTGGCCTGTCTTATTGTTCTAAAATTCTTAATGAACTTCCCTGAGGGAGGATGGTAGTTCTCTGTCCTATTGTCCTCATGCTTGATCATGTCAATTGTTCTGTGCAATGGAATTTGCGTAGACGTGCCTGCCAAGTGTTATTTCTAGACATAAACTAAGAGTTGAACGTGGTTTGTCAAATTCTCTTCTCTGCCCTAAGAGGTCATTTTGAAGAGTGCATCTAGCTATATAAAAATATAGACAGGGAGGGGCTGATAGTACAGCTCAGTGATAGAGTGCTTGTGTGGTGTGCATGAGGCCCTGGGGTTGGCTTTTAGCACCACGAAGAGAAAACAAAAACAAACAAAAAATGGGAGTTTCAGCTTCCAGATGTTGGGGATGTTAAACTTATCCCTCTATTGGGGTATGTAATGTAGTGAGTTTTATGTGCTTGTTTGATCTGTAGTCCCATTTTAGACAAATGTTATCTTACGACCCAGCTTCAGGACTGTGCTTTCGTATGTCGTTTTTTAGTGGATCTTAAAACCCTACTTCTCATGGCTTGAAAAGGACATGGAGGAAGGCTACTTGAGCCTAGAGGAACTAGATAGCAATCAGCTTGCAAGTGGTTGTGGATATTAGGCCAAAGGGTTGAAGCTTTGATTGGGGGGGGGGGCGGCATAGAAGCAGAACACGGACGTTAAGCACAGTATACATTTAGTGTCAAAAGACCCTAGATTTGTGTGCAGACTGTGATCATGAGCAAATCAATGCTTGGTTTGCTTTTGTATAAAACTGGAAATAGTGGGCAGGATGTGTAGAGTGCTTGCCTAGCACGTGCCAGGCCCTGGGATGGTGCAGCAAAATAGTAACTATTTCTTGAAACCACAAAGTTTAAATATGGAATCTAATGACTGTTGGTGTACAGGGAGCAAAAATAAGTGGTGGTGCTCTGCAGACCAGGCTACATAATTGGTATCTGACTCTAGAGGTGGTGCTGCTACCACCACAAGATACTTGCTCCCTAATAGTTTAGGAAGATTTCATTGCATTAAACCTTCCAAGGAGACTTAAATTATAAGAGGGAACCTATTTGTCCAGATGAGTGAATTGGTCTTGGGTTGTGTATCAGGATCTACAATCTTCTTACATGCAGAGCAAACAATGGAACTATGTGCATTTTGAGAGGAAGAAGGATGTAGTGTCTGAGAAAGTACTGTTGTAAATATCTAGTCATCACTGCACAAGTATCTAAGCAGGGGTTTTACTTTGTGCAATTTTTTTTTTTAATATTGGGAATGAGTCCAGGGGTGCTTAACCACTGAGCCACATCCTCAGTCCATTTTTTTTTTTTAATTTTATTTAAAGACAGGGTCTCAATGAGGTTGCTTAGGGCCCCACTAAGTTGCGGATGCTGGCTTTGAACACATGATCCTCTTGTCTCAGCCTCCTGAGCCACTGGGATTATAGGTGTGCACCATAGTGCCTGGCTAAATTTGCTTCATAGAATTTTTTTGAGGGGGAGTCTAGCTATGTTGCCCAGGCTGGCCTTGACCTTGTGGGCTCAAATGATCCTCTGGTCTCTGCCTCCCTAGTGGGCTACAGGCATGTACCACCACATTCACCTTCACAAAATTTGTTTTTTATAAAGCAAGAATCAAAACAATTCTTTCATAAATGTCTTTTATCCCTAAGAGCTCCTGAAATTGATGACAACCAGTATTTCAACAGAAAATTGAAAGATAGAATGAAAAATGCTTAATTTTCCAAGAGCAATGCATATAAAACTATATTGAAATGTAAAATTTCACCTATCAGATCAGCAAAAGTCAATCATAATGTATTGCCATTAGAAGGAAACCAACTTATATGTGGTGGGAGAGTGAGGCAACATCTCCAAAATGTACTTACCTTATTGCCTCAGCAATTCCAGAACTACAAATTAATTCTTCAGCTATACTTGCTGTGCACCAACTGACACATGTGCAGCCCACTTACCACAGCATTATTTCTTTTTGTTGTTGTTGTTTTAGTTGTAGATGGACATAATACCTTTATTTCTTTTAATGTGGTGCTGAGGATCGAACCCAGTATCTCACACATGCTAGGCGAGTGCTCTACCACTGAGCCACAATCCTTACAGCATTACTTCTAATGCTGAAGATTGGAAAAAGATTGTTATAAGAAATTGAATAAATTACAATAAAGCTAAACAATGCACCAAGCAGTTCTAAAAAACAAACAAAAAACCAAACCAAAACCAAAACAACAACAAAAAACTTGAGTTCTTTTTATTTTACGGGGAAAAGGCATATAATATGCTAAGTGAAAAAAATCATGATACAGAAGTACATTTCTACCACGAAAAGTTTGCATAGGAAAATCAATGGAAGACCATTTGATATAGCCAACGGTTATCTCCAGGGGAATTTTTCACTTTCTGAGAAATTGTCCGCCCATCCCTCCCGCTACCAGTGCAGGGGATTGAACACAGGGTCTCATGCATGCTAGACAAGCACTCTACCACTGAACTCTATCTCTAGCCCTCAATTTTTTTACTAAAACAAATATAAAATACTGCAATCATTGAGAAAAATAAAAAATAGTATTCTCAACATTTTTGTATCATTTTGAACAAGAAATATTGGCCTTTCTGTTACTACTAGCTATAAATAAATCAAATTTTTTCATACTAGGGACTGAACCCAGGAGTGCTTTACCACTGAGCTACATCCTCAGCTCTTTTTTGAAACAGGGTCTCATGAAATTGCTTGGGGCCTTGTTAAGTTGTTGAGGCTGGTCTTGAATCTATGATCCTCCTGCCTCAACTTCCCAAGTCACTGGAATTATAGGCATGCGCCACTGCGCCTGGATAAATCAATAATTTCTATAGAAAAAAAAATATCCATAGCCCTGAAGAAAAGTTTTAAAACAAAATTCTCAAGCTGGTTGAATGGGTTGACTTGGTTATTGAGATGTAACGGTTTAGTTTAATAGTTCTTAATGGTTGGTCCATTGATCAGCTATATGTAATCACTTGGGAAGTTTTAATTTTTTTTTCCAATGCTGGATATCCAGTTCAAGGTCTAGGGTGTGCCAGGCAAGTACTCTACCCCTGAGCTACATCTCCAGTTCTAGAAAGATTAAAAAATAAATAAATAAGGGTTGGAGGTATAGCTCAGTGGTTAAGTACTTGGCCAGCATGTATAAGGCCCCGGGTTTATTCCCCAGCACTGCTGCAAATTTTATGTATGTGTGTGTATATATATATATGTGTGTGTGTGTGTGTGTGTGTGTGTGTGTATGACTGAACCCATCTGGAAATGCAAAAGGGGAGAAAAAGAACAATTTCAAAGGAGTGCCTATTTGTAATGTATTGAATTATATTGATGATATAATAAACCTATTTTTGTTACTCTTTTTATATATTCATGGAATTGATATTTTACTTAGAATGTTTGCATCAAAATTTATAAGTAAAATTGGTTATCACCTTGTAGACTGGGGAAAAAAATTGAACCCAGAGGCTCTTTGTCACTGAGCTAAATCCCTAGCTCTTTGTATTCTTTTTTTTTTTTTTTTTTTAAAGAGAGAGTGAGAGAGGGGGACAGAGAGAGAGAGAGAGAGAGAGAATTTTAACATTTATTTATTTTTTCTTAGTTCTCGGCGGACACAACATCTTTGTTGGTATGTGGTGCTGCTGAGGATCGAACCCGGGCCGCACGCATGCTAGGCGGGCGCGCTACGGCTTGAGCCACATCCCCAGCCCCTCTTTTTTTTTTTAATATTTATTTTTTAGTTGTAGGTGGACATAATATCTTTATTTCATTTTTATGTGGTACTGAGGTTTGAACCCAGTGCCTCACATATGCTAGGCGAGCACTCTACCACTGAGCCACAATCCCAGCCCTCTTTGTATTCTGATTCAGGGTCTCACTAAGTTGCTGAGGCTGGCCTCGAACTTGCAATCCTCCTGCCCAGTCTCCCCAGCTAGCTGCTGCTAGTTTAGGTGTGCACCTGGCTTCAACAAATATTTTTAATGAACAATCTCAATTTGGGAACTAATCTACCTTAAATTATGATAAAAGGCATGGCTATTCTTTCTGAGCAGGCAAACTACCCCACTCCATTAGGTTGGAGAACATTAGACACTTTAGACCTGGACTAGGAAACTAGAAAAGGGTTGTAGGGTAAATGGCCTGAACTTTTGAGAAAATCATCAGAGTTCATACACCTTATAAGGAATGGGGCTCAGTGCAGAGTGAGCTGACGACCCTTATATTTAAAATAAGATTAGTAGGGTTGTGAAGTTCTTTTCTAGTTAGTTGAGGTCTTGGCACCCAACTTTCAGCCATTCTTGCTCCAGACAGGGAGAATTTAAAGCACTTTCTCCTAATCTAGGCAGGTATTCCTTTTCCAGAGTGGCTAATACATTTATTTAATTTTCTCTTTTAAGATACTTTTGAAAAGACATCAAGTGAGTCAGTCTGTTCACTTCTGCCTTCACAACCCCGTGCACCTATCAAGTGCACTTATCAGTATTGGAACCTAGAAGAGCAAAGGGCCAGGAGTGACTCTGCCTGTTGCACTGTCCCTCAGGAACGTGAAGCAAGGGAAAAACACATGCTGAGCCTGCGTTCCCTACCCAGCAACTGTCAGAACTTGACAGATGGCCGCAGGGCCTGACTGAACCCTGCTTCATTGCTTCTCTGACCCATCCTGAATGGCCTCTGGCACTAAGCACAAGTGGACACAATAGCTATAGGCAGGACTGATGCCAAGCAGGTGCCGACACCAGAGCTTGCAGATTGGCAATCTACTGTTTGCACCTTGCTTACAAATCACTTTTAAAACACTGAATTATTTGCCTTTTTTTTTCATTGCCAATTTTCAAGCACCAATAGACCTTCCAAAAAAAATTCTTTTTCCATTTTTTCCTTTAAAATTTAGGACCTACTACTGAGTGCTTTCATTTTCATGGCTGTCATCTCCCTCTGTGGATGAGGGCTGATTACCAACCATCATCTTCCACCCAGCTTCTGATTTTTATTTATAATAATCTCCTTGGCCCCCAAGACATCTGAAGCTGCCGTCTCCCCTCCATCCCTTGCCTGTCTCTATAGGATCCACTGTGTGTCTCCACCTGTCTTACAAGGTCCAAGGAATTATACCCACATTCTCGACATCTTTGGGCTGACTTACCTCAAAGGTCCAAGGAATTATACCCACATTCTCGACATCTTTGGGCTGGCTTACCTCAATGGCATGATGAAGAAAAGGATGTACTCTGAGCCATCATTTGGGACCACTAACACATCTCTGGCTTACCGTTCAGCTGGATGTGACTAAACTTCTAGAATACAAACTGACATCTACCCCTTCCTCCCATTAAAGAAAAAGGTAGACAGTGGTTGGATCTACAGTAATTTTATTGTAACAGAGAAACCAAGCTGCAGTAAGTCTACATGATTAGAGCAGATGGTGGTTATCGTTCCAAGGGTGAAGCCTAAGCCTGGCTGGCAGCACACAAACCCCAGACTATCTCTTTTCTGATCCTAACCTGTGTTGCCTGACTCATGATGTGAGGTTAGTGGCTGCACAACCACAAGGAATGAAAGTAGAGGTCCAGCGGGCAGAAGCAGCACCCCAGGAGAAGACAATTACACAGTCAATGATGAGGATGCTGGCATAAAGTGCGGTCACCTACCCTCGACTATTCTTTGCCAAGAAACAGAGGGTATGGCATGAGCAGAAAATTATGTTCTCCAATCTTAAATAGATCCTGATATGATGGGGTTCATGGTTAATCAAGCAATAGAATGGGATGGAAATCTAGGCTAGTTATAGGTCTTTGTGTTAAAGAAAGAAAAGAACAGCAATGGTAAGAAGAGACAGACATTTTCCTTATTTTCTTAAATAAGACAGGAAACAGCATCTATTATTTTCCTTGCTGCAGTGGCAACAGACTCATTGGTTTTTGTAAAGCACAATTTGTGCAATATGGTCTGTTGATAGGATGCTCCACCATGGGGGGACAAATGTGAGGTGGACTGTTAATGACACAACTCAGCCTATAGCATGAGCTATGTCTCAAGCTGGATCCGCTGAGGAACCCCTTCCACCACACAGTGCTTCATTAAAGCTTCTGAAATATTGCAACATCACGACAGGTTTTTGGTGCTGTGACTTTCTTATACATGTAAACTCTTTCAAAAAAGCCAGAGATAAAAGGATGATGGAGGAGTTTGGTTTAAAGCCACAGAGTTCCAGACACCAGCCATGGATGCCTCTGCCCTATCTCACTACATGTTCTTTTCTGAGAAACACATCCAATCACTAAGTGTTATGCACTGTGGTTGAAAGAAATGACCCTCTCCACCATCCACCCTCCCTCATCCTGCATGTGAATCACACAAC